TACGGCCTTGTTCGGACCATGTCAGATCGGGGCCGTATTTAGGAAAATTTCGAACCCAGGGGTTGTTTTGGAGATTATTTGACATTTCGGCCTTTCAGAAACAAATTCCAAACAGGGCCTCTTTCGGGACTTCCAAATCAGTGCCCTGGAATCTGTTTATGGAATGCTCTATATACATCTGTTTATAAAAACTATTCAAAATCATTCCACATCTTCCAAATGAAGAAGATCCCTACTCCTTAAAAGTCATGCAAAAAGACCCTTAAGTCTCAGCATCCGTTCCGCAATGAACTGCCGTGTTGGCCCTGTCAGAAGTGGTATTGGGGGCAGGCTTCAGGATTTGGAGCTCTGGGCAACCCGGATTTCATACTCAGTGGACTTAATATGAGGGGGAAGAGGTTAATTCTAAGGCAACAAGTTGGGCGTCCTGGTTTTACAAGTGCATCACAGTCTAATGCTCCATGCCTTGCCGAAGAATTGGATTCCACATTTGCTTGCCAGCCTGCGGGTTTGCAAGGTGTGCTACGTGCGATCTTGTGACATTGAAACAGACTCCCAGCTGAAGCAGCCGCATCTCCTGGCGGCGGCCAAGGTGGGCAACCTCCGCGGTTTGTGATCTGGCTGCAAGAATTTTAGCGTCCGCCCTATAGTGTAAGGGGGATGGTGGGGCATTTGGACAAAAAACGTTTGTGAGGAAGGTCCCTAGTGGCTTCTGGTAGCAGTACTCGGAAAGTCCACATCCATATTTCCGAGTTCAAGCCTGGAGAGCCCTGACTTCCCTTGATGGGTTCTGACAGAAATGTCAGAAAGTTCAGAGGCCGTAGCACCGAGGGCTCACATCTGGCGCGCTCTCTCTTTTCGGACAATGTTCCAGGCACAACAGCCTGCCGAAGAAAGGCAGCTTCGTCTGCAAAAATCACAGGAGCGCCCTTTGCAAGATCGCTAAGCAGGCCTGACTGTCGAGCCTAGTGCTGCGAGGTTTATTTATGCAAGCGTTGCCCGAATGCCAACAGTTGTATGTTTAGAAGCTCACGTTCGCGGACGCGGACGGATCCGCCAGCAGTCAGCCAGCAGCGAGGAATGCAATTAGAGTCGGTCTTGCGAGCTTGGAGGTTGAGAGACTGTCGGACTAGCGCACGAAATCCGGAGCATAAATAACACACCAACAAAGGTCAAGGGATCCGGGGTGCACGGTCAACTTTCAGCCGACAAAAGTGCATACAAGCTCAGGAAGGCTATGAAGACAAGGAGCCGGCGGAGCGCCCGCGCAAGGCCGGCAGGTTTAAGGGCTTTCCACTTCCATCTTCAAGTTTGTGGGTTTCCACTTAAATTAATTAGTTCCTTGCGCTGCTATACGCGCCAGCGATCAGGAGAGGGTGCACAGATACTGTACCAACTGTGGAGGGGCGCGGTCTCTTCATAGCAGAACCACCGAAAAGATCTTTGATGTCAGGTGACGTGACTTATCCTTGGACCCCTTTTGAGCCTGCGCTCCGCTTATCAGCTGAGCGGTTGCGTCCCTGAGGTCCGCCGTTCAGAGATTCCTGCCCCGCGGCATGCAGCTGGGCGGTTTTCTGAGAAACTGTTCATTTGGAGGTCCATGGTAACATACAAGTCAATTAAAACTGTAGTTTTTACCCAAGTTGGATTTTACTTGTTTTCCGATTAAGATTAAGGCTAAAATCACCATATACCTGCAAACAGGCCGAGCAAAACATCTTTGCTGAACGGGGTTTGCCTCCTTACAGACCCCACATGCTTGCACACGTGCGAGATCCGGCAACCAACCAAAAAGCGTGAAAACGTAGTCGTGTGTGTCCAGCTAGTCTGCACTAGTTGCGCTTTGCCAAGCGTTCCTGCCGAGGCTTCATGCACTTGGATGGGCAGCGTGCAGTATTCCAAAACATCTCGGCGGCTCATTATAGGAGCGCAAGGCCAGCACATCAACCGCCAGACAAAAGCAGGTGGCTTGGTTACGCAGGAGCAGCGAAGCTTGCTACAGAGTTCCTCTGCCCGTGCAGCCTTGGGTCGCCTTGTGCCTCTGAACAACTTGCAAGACAGCCCCCCGACCAAAAGACAAGAAAAAACACCGTCTGAAGAATGAGAGGAAAGGCAAGCGTGCGACTGCAGCGCAGCAGGAAGCCGTTTGTCCGGCAGAGTACACGCCTGAGGATGTACTGGATGCACTGCGCTCTTCCGGCGTCACCTTTGATTCAGCTGAGAATTGTCAGGCAGTGACTGACCCAAGTTCGATCCATGCGCTGCACTGTGTCAGACATGAAACTTACCGCCTAGATTCTGGCAAGCTAGCGTTCACGGCCGTGCTAACAAGCCCCATGCTTTTACGCACTCTGTTTCTTTTGGAAAACCCACATTACATCAAGCTGGCCACGGACGCCACCTGGAAGGACTTGTTTCAGGATTGGTGCCTGATGCCTATTGGGGTCCTCTCCAAACAGTATGCAGTTTCCAGATATTCCGCCGCCAAACTGCCGTCCTGGAGCACGCATTTCTCGGAAGTGTTGCTGCTGGTCTCCACCACAGAGTCAAAGCAAGCCTATGCGATTGGTTTTGAAATTTTCAGCAAGCTGAAGCTCCAGGCGCAGCCTCCGCTGCTAGCAGGCCCAAACGTGCGGCAAGTGCATGCAGACTGGTCCCCTGCGGTGGAGAACGCGCGACAGCGCGTCTTTCCTCACAGTATACGTGCCTCTGATTATGCTCACATGTGGCTGAACATGAAGTCACGCGTGTCCCATCTGCCGGACAGCCAGCGCAGCGACCTCAAATCTGCGTTAAGCAGAAGCAGGACGCGTTGCCCGCGGTGGTTGGGGCCAGGCGCATCTGGCCTCGCGCATGATGGGCACATACTTCTTTCTTCTCTCGCCGGAAGACGCGCCGGCTCAGTATGGCCTCGCGGACCCTGTGCTTACCGAGGATGGCAAAGTCCTTTGCGCGAGCTGGTCGGCGACGTACGCCAGGTTGCAGCCGGGCAGTGCAAGTGGCAGCCAATCAGTGGAAGCGTATCACGCATCAGGCTTGCGTGTGGCCTTAGTGGCTTCTTTGCCTGAGCAGAAATCTTCTCGCAAGCCTGCAGAACTCTGTCGCTTGCCTCCAGTCCCTTTCTTCCAGGCACTTGCAGGCGCCCTGAAGGCAATTGGCCTCCAGCTAATGAAGGCGCCCGCCCATTCCTTGGTTGATGTTCCAAACAAAGAAGACCCGGTGCTGCGCAATGACGTCAGGTTAGGCTCCATAGGCAGGTCCACAGCAGCCGAACTGTGGAAAGCACGTGCCCAGTGCCAAGCTATCAGTCATGGCGAAAGCACTGCGTACGTCATGCCCCGATCTCTTTTGCGGTGGCAGAAGGATGCCGCTGCGCCTCGCGGTGGTGCCTATCAGCATGTGCCTGCCGCCGACTTGGGCCTAGGTGTTCTTGAGGCAGACGCTTGCGTCCGGTTGGCCACCGAGACCAATGGTGCAAAATTGCTCAATTTGTGGCAGAGACTCAAGATTGCGGGTGGACGCTCTTCCAACACCTTTGCCCTTGACTTCGTGCAGTGGTGTAAGTATCGCTACGATCGGGTGGTCGTTCTCACTGGCACTTGGGCCACCAAGCTCTGGGCTGCCCCTCGGCACATCTGCCCGTGCCTGCCTTTCGCGCTATCCGCAGCGTGTGAACATGCGCGTGTTTCGCAATCGCTCGCGATTCCGGGTGACAATTCTCTAGAGACGTTCACCTCATCTCGAGTCGGTCGCCCTCTCAAGCTTTCCTTCACTGCCGAACACCGCGGCCTGCCCGCCTCTTGTTTATCAGCAGCGGCCGTCCGGCAAGAGCAACAGCGTGCCGACAAGGCAGCCCGGGACGCCCAACCGCCCATCCCTCCGTCCATAAGTGAAGGGCTCTCAACATGCGCGCGATCGGACCATGCTGCCCTGCCTGTGCCGCGTCCACCTGCATCATCGGCCTGTGACGACCCTCCTGGGGGCAATTCCAGCAGAGGTCCAACGGAATACCGAACGGACTTCGACAAGGTCAAGGCCGGCCATATAGAGAGCTGAGGGTGTGCGTGAGCGGGGGAAAGATGTATGTAGACGCTAATTGTTGCTTGACTTCATCTTATGAGGCTATCATAGGCGACAGCACGATGCCACCGCAAACCAACATTTACAAGAATGAGCGGAACAAGGCTGGGCAGCATTCAACTCCAGTAAAATTTTGTCCTTGCTTGACAGTACGGGTTAGTGTGGTGTGAGGCATGGGTCGCAGTGTCTGCTGGCCGCACAGTACGGGGCAGCCACGCCGCCTTGTCCGCGCATGGTACGGATGAGGCCGCCATCCGCCATGCGTGGCAGGCGGTGCGCAAGGCATTCCCTGACCACTTCCAGGACCCCGGGCTGCGTGCGTGCCAACGGCATGAATGTCACATCTCTGTTTTGCCAGGACTCCTGAACACTCGAGGACTTTCCGCCACCCACGCGCGTGCCTGCTCCTTCATGAAAACATAGACCCTGCTCTGCGTGTAATTCTTTCTTGAACTCCATGTTCTGTCTTGCGTTGTCATGCAAGCTCAGCCTGCGCTCACGTTGTAGCCATGTCCATCCTGGCCGTTGTGGTTCAAACTAGTCTCGTCCTCCCCCCCGTTCCAAGACCAACAAGTCCCAAGACCAAGAAGGGCTTTAATTAACAGTGCTTGAAGTGCTCCAAGACCAGGAAGCGCTGCAAGTGACAGCGTGTGAAGCGCTCCT